CGTGTTCTTCACAGGAGCAAAAAGGGGGAAGCAGCCCCGGGGCTGGCTGGCAGCCGGACGGAGAAGCCGAGAGTGGTCTACACGTGCAGCGGGCAACGCCCGGCCGTAAAAGGGAGGAAACCCTGCCACCTCCTGCCACCAGGACGAGCCCTGGAAACGCTGGGCTCCGTGAAGCAAGCCAGGCACGAAGGGACACACGTGGGATTCCACCGACTTGGAATCCCCACAGGCGGCCTTCAACACCGCCTCTCACTGAGCGCCGTGCACGCAGGTTCCTCCAGGCCTGTGTGGGGTTCAGCTCCGCTCTTCACCGCACCACGTCCGCGTGGACCCGTTCACCTGCCCCCCGCCCTCCTCCACCGAGCACGCCCGCTGGGTCCTGCGGCGACACTGGGTCTCGTCGTGTGAGGAACTGCCAAGCCATCTCCCACGGAGGCTGCACCGGGTGGCATTCCCACTGAGAAGCCTGGCGTTGCGCGGCCCACGCCCTCGCCAGCACCGGTGCAGCGCCATTTCTGTATGTTTGCAGTGCGGCGGCCATGCCCTCCCATTTTCCCGGCTGTGGGCCGCGTGCTGTTCGCCGGTGGCTGCGGGGTCTCGATGCTGGGCCTCTCGGATGCGCTCCGCATGGTTTCGGTCTTCCTCCCTGCCCCGTGTCCGCCTGCGCCCGAGGCCGGCTTCCGAGCGGGTTCCTGTCCATCGGTACTGCCTTCATCGTCTCCGTAATGTCTGACCTTCATCTTGCTAACTCCTTGCTTCCCCTCCCTGGAGTCTTTCATCTTCTCCTTTCAGTTTTTCACTTTCTTTCAAAGCTCAGACACGTAGTCTTGAGCTCTGCAACCAGCAGGGCGCGACTTCCCACCCGTGCCCGCTCCCATCCCCTGCCTTTCCCGGAACCGCGCTTCCCTGAATTCCTCTCCAGCCCCAGCGTGAGCGAGGGTGTGCGCTACAGGCCTGCTGCCGGCTCTGAACGCTTCCTGCGGACTTTGCGGTGAATCGCACTGGGGCCAAGACCGTGGCTTGCATGAAACGGATTGCTTACAATTTAGCGCAACTTTCCATAGATGGTCAACTTTTTGAAAAGTTGCGGGTTTCAGAAGAGCACCCGGAGGCTGTGTGCTGGGTGCAGGTTCCAGGTGCCTCTCGTCCTTCCAGCTGTCAGCTCTGGGCTCCTTGGGACCCTTCTGAGCATCTTACCTGACATCCGTTTCCCCCCACATCTTGTTTTCCTTCCTTTTCTGCTTGATGTTGGCGTTTCCGTTAAATAGAGGTTCCCTTCTCTTTCTCCTGCGAGGTTGGAGACTAGAGATGACATGCATACTCTTCAGTGGTCGCAGTCCATGTTTGGGGTACACCTTGCTCCTTGAGACACATAAGCAAGCACACTTTTCCCCCAAATGCAGGACCAAGTGACTGTATGTTCTCCTCCTCACTGGGGTCCTGCTGTGACTTAACCACCCACGGAACAAACCCGTCTCTCGAAAGACACCGTACGTCCCCAAAGCCCAGTCGCCCCAAGTTCCGGCTGAAGCTTATGTTTAGGGTGCACTCGGCCCTGAACACCCACAGCCCTCGCCCGGCACATGCTCGCTTCTCTTCTTGAAGCACATCTAGTAACCCCGTCGGCTCTCCCTTCAGAGTGTCTGTGTCTCCGTGTTCTGGGGTCGTGCTGAATGCTCTGGGAAGTGGACTCGCCTTCACCTTCCCTTTCGGTCCTCAGAACGGAGTGTGGGTCAGTGCCTCTTTGACGCGGGCCACTTCCCCACAAGCACCCCCCACCCCCCTCGCTGCAGGGCAGTCCCCGTGAGCGCCGGGTCTCTGCCACGAGGAAAGCAGACTCCGCTCAGGTCCTCTTCAGAGGCGTTTTCAAAATGCTGACCGAGAGGCACCTCTTCCTCCCCCGCCGGCCCTGCCTCATCTCCTGCCACGCGCTTCCGAGCTCCTGCTCCTCTCACAGCGTGACGCCGGCCGTGCCCTGAGCAGGACACTCTCTTGGACTTGCCTCCGCTGCGCCATCGTCCTCAGGGAAGGCAGCTGCCCGTGCTGGGAACGGGGTCGCAGACTCAGAGGTGGGCGCTGGTCCAGGGTCAGGGGTGCAGGGGCGGCGGGGCAGCTGCCCCTGGGAAGGCGCCTGGCTGTGGGCTCACACGCACTAACCGGTCCTTCAGTAGCGGGAGCTGCCCCCTATCCTCCGCTCACGCCCACCTCCCAGCCCTCCGTGCTCCCGCCCTGCCTGCCAGCCATGCCCCTCTCAGCCTGCCCCTCACACGTCTGGCCGGTGCCGGTGCCGGTGCCGGCTATGCCGTGTGGGGGGCATCCGTGAGGCTGGAGGGAAGGAGGTGGCTGTCGTGGGGGTGCTCACAGTGTGAACTCCGGGCGGGGAAGCCGGTGCAACATGCAGACAGTGTGTTCGCGCTGCAGGCCCTGCTTCAGGGGCTGGGACAGGTCAGACGCCAGGCCCCCCCGCCTCTGGAGAGCTGGACCCGGGCACAGCCAGCGCCCTCCCACGAGGCCCGGCCCTCCTCTGTGCCACCCGCTCCCTCGCCCCCAGGGCGTGGCGTCTGTGCGCTTTGTCAAGGTCCGACTTAGAGGCCCCGGAGGAGAAGCTGTGGGAAGGCCATTCAGCATGGTTTTCTCTAACTTTGTGGTTAAAGTCTGAACACAGATTTCACACGAACACGAACACCGACACTTAGATGATTTTCGTTTCGAGACCATTTGTAAGCAGTGAAATGCCACGAATTACGAATTTCCTCGGCTTCAAGGCCAGTGGCAACACACTGGGACCGTTTCCCTCACATCACCTCACTTGAAACCCTTCTGGAGGGTGAGCCCCACACTGCGCGGCCGGAACCCCGAGCGCTTGGATGAGGGCGCGCTCCGCAGCACCTGGCGAACCCGAGGCCTGGGCAGCTCCAGCTCCCGGGTCTGCCCGGTGCCACCCTCTTTCTCATTCAGCCATTTAAAAATCGAACTCTTTTCGCCTGCCCGGCGCGGCTCAGGGGTTGAGCGTCGACCTACGAACCAGGCTCAGTTCCATTCCCGGTCAGGGCACATGCCTGGGTTGTGGGCTCGCTCCCCAGGAGGAGGCGTACAGGAGGCGGTCAATGGGTGAGTCTCTCATCGTGGATGTTAGTATCTCTCTCTCCCTCACCCTTCCTCTCCGAAATCAATAAAAATGTATTTTAAAAAATCTAATTCTCAGCCCACCAGTCCCAATCCTTCCATTCTTTGCCTTAAACTCTCCAACCGTTCGAACAGCCAGCCGTACTCATCCTCCCGTCCCGTCTCGGCTCGGGTCTGCCAGCTCCCTCCCCAGGTTCCAGTCCCGTCAGAGTCTGCAGCCGACAGTTCCAATGTCCCACCCCTTGACCCTGTCTGTGTCATTCGTCCTTCCCCCAGGACCCCAGCAGGCACATGCCTATTCTGCTGTGGCTCTGCAAGGGGACACAGGGCCTTGACCTCAGAGGTCAGGGGACACAACCTTCCTGGTGCAAAACAGCAGTCTCCACCTCACATAAGACCCTGGGAAAGGACAGTGGCCAGGGGAGGGTCCTCTGGCAGAGGACTCTGTGATTTTCCCAGCCGGGACCAGGAGCCAGTGGCCTCTTGGGGAGGTGGGGGGCAACCCGGGGAACCCCGTTCGCCAAAGGGCACTCTATGAAGAGGCCGCAGCCACGCACGCCTCTCCTGCTATGGGCTGTTCCCT